AGCACTGATCCAGACTTCCCAGAAGTGCAAAACTGATGATTTGCATAAATCTTGTAGCAAGAAAAAAACAAGGAGATTTTGATGTGTAACAGGCTTCACAAATAAACAGACAAACAAAGAAACCTGTCCAACAGAAATATATATTATTTCCCTATACAACAACCCAGATTGCGTAACTACTAAGCAGATACAGATGGCCAAGATGTTCTGCTTGGAATAATGTCCTTGTGGCTCAACTGTGGGTGTCAATTCAATTAATTTGGCTGGGTATTGGTTCAAATTACTGAAAATTCCAGAGCTGGGTTAATTTGGTAACTGGATTAAAGATACGTAATAATAGTAATAATAATAAAATTGGAAGGGACCTTGGAGGTCATCTAGTCCAACCCCCTGCTCAGGCAGGAAAGCCTATACCATTTCAGACAAATGGCTGTCCAGTCTCTTATTAAAAACTTCCAGTGTTGGAGCATTCACCACTTCTGGAGGCAGGTTGTTCCACTGATTAATTGTTCTCACTGTCAGGAAGTTTCTCATTAGTTCTAGGTTGCTTCTTTCCTTGATTAGTTTCCATCCGTTACTTCTTGTCCTGCCTTCATGTGAATAAAGCCACTGTTTCTCTTGTTCTTTTTCTTTTATTCAGAGAATCATAAGATACAAAAGGACTGCACAGAACATCTGGTGATTATAACAGCTACCCATTTATTTTCTTCTTAGCAATTTGTATGAAAGACACACCAAATCCAGTGCAACAAAGCCGTTTGGCACAGAAAGACAGTTTCAACCAGGAAAAAAGGACCAGCTTCACCCAACTGGCCCTCTTTCCATTGCTGCAGTAGACGTTTTCTGCTGCTTCCACTGACAAGCAGTTTCATCTGGCTGTATTTTTACTATTTTTGAGAATGCACAACCAAAAGTCTCCCCTGTTGTTCCTCCCGGTCCAAAGGCCTGGCACCTGCATCCTGCAACTGCACTTTTCATTGGCTTTTAGGACAATGTACTACGCTGATCTCTGTAACTGTCAGTGGAAGGCATTGGTACCCTGGGGTTTGTTGTTTTGGCTCTGGCTTTGGCTGTTCCAGGGGCCGGAGTGATGGTGGCTGTTCTTAGACCAATCTCAATTAGCTCTGGGACAGGTCTTTCTGCCTTTTGTTGGTGTGGGGCTAGGACTGGATGCTTTGCCACTCTGGTTAGTATGGATTCTAGTCAGTGCTTACAGTCCTTGTAAAGAACGGACTTGTGGAGCTAGCCTCTCACTTGACCACATAACTCCTTCTGTGCCTTTTAGCCAGATTATTTTCGATCGGTGGGCTTAGCAGTTTTGCAAGCATCTGGAGATGTCCCTCCCTCTTCCTCCTTCCTTCATCTTACTCCTGCCAGCACGTTTGCCATCTTTGTCAAACCCACCGCTCTCTGCCTCTGTCTAAATATTAAGGTGACCAACTTTTTTACAATGGAAAGGAGGACACAAATAAATTGAAGAAAAAAATATCGTAAATAAAAGAAACATTTTATTCATTGCAACAATAATACAGACAGCTTGCATGTGCAAAGTTTGCCAGCCAGGTGTTTTGGCGCGCTCAGCAGCAATTCCTATTGGCTTTCGAAAGCCAATAGGGGGAGTAGCACAGCTCATGCAAAAGTTGAAAAAAAACCCATCCCAAAAAAGGTGCCAGAACGCCATTCTGAGCGTTCTATGAGGGGAAAAAAAAGCCCTGCAGATTAGTCTTCAAATATCGAAAAGAAGGACATGTAGGAGGACACTTTTCAAGGGAGGACAGAACCTACAAAAGGAGGACTGTCCTCCCTAAAGGAGGACGGTTGGTCACCTTATAAATATGTCATTGATGGTTGCTTTTCCCATTCAGTACAGGCACCCACACTAAGCATACGCTCGGGGCACTTAGAAACGGCAACATAGAGTTCCCCCCCCCCCGGCGGTCACGCCCTTAAATCTTTCACTGCCACGCTCAACTTTACCCGGCATGTTTGCAACTGTCCTCATCTGCTGTTTTTCAGCTTTAATTTGCATTTTTTAAAAAAAAAATCTCTGGTGTGGAGAGCGACTAAAATGTCAACGTTTACGCTTGAAGGTAAGCATCGGGTATCCCATTTGTTCCGTCCGGTGGCGCGAGACTTTTGCATCCGTCCAGTACAAGCGCAGTGCCAGGCACCGACAAACGCACGGAAGGAGGGCGTTTGCAAACTTGACTGGGAAGTTTGCAAAGCAAATAAACAAGCGATAAAAGGGAATGTGAGCGCAGATGCGCACATACCCGCTCGAGAATTCAAATCCCCCCACCACAAAAGTCCAGCAAACTTGCCTTGAGAGAGCGCCAAATTCAAAACAGAAGGCACCAGAGTTTCTTAAACGGAAGCAGTTCTGAGGACGCTCCTTGGGAAGCGCGAGATCCTCTTTGCTCTGCTCTCCGCTCTCCGCACGGCGAGCCTTTGCACCGGGAAGGGGGGGGGACCGGTGGCCGCTGGGTTTCCTGGTTACCGGCGGCGCCGCCTCCTCTGCTTGCAGAGGCAGCAGTTCCTCGGAACAGAACCGTTTACACATCGTCGGATTTCTCATCCGAGTCCAAATTGGCCGTGGCACCCGGCTGTCCTGGTCTGGCTAGCATTTGCTTGACTCGCATAAGGGATCCTTAAGCTTGTTCTTTTATTGATTTTTTTTTAAGCGCTAAATATATATTTTTTTAAGTTTGCATTTAATAGAGATGTGGGGTCCAGCCTGGGGGAATGGCCTGGAAGACATCTGAAGTTTTCACATCTTATTTCACCTTCAGCACTTACTTAATGTCTTAATGCAGGGGTCTTCAAACTTGGCCCTTTTATGACTGGTGGACTTCAACTCCCAGAATTCCTCAACCAGGCACTCTGGCTGAGGAATTCTGGGAGTTGAAGTCCAACAGTCATAAAAGGGCCAAGTTTGAAGACCCCTGTCTTAATGTCTTGTCAAATAAGCAATGGAGGGGCATTGTTGGGCTTTGCTTAGGCGTCAGTTGGCCTTAATTTGGCCCTGAATGTTGTTGTTGTTAATTGCGAAGTGTCTGACCCATTGCGACCCCATGAACAACGTTCCTCCAGGTCTTCCTGTCCTCTACCATCTTCTAGAGTCCATTTAAGTTCACACCTACTGCTTCAGTGACTCCATCCAGCCACCTCATTCTCTGTCGTCCCTTTCTTCTATTTCCCTCAATCTTTCCCAGAATTAGGCCCTTCTCCAGTGAGTCCTTCCTTCTCATTAGGTGGCCCTGAATGTACGATGCTTGAGAACCAGTTTGGTGTAGTGGTTGAAGGCACTGGAGTAGAAAGCAGGACATGCTGAATTCTTGTCCTGCTTTAGGTACAAAGTCATCTGGGTAACCTTGAGCCGGTCACTCTCTCTTAGCCCCAGGGAGAAAGCAAGGGCAAACCTTTTCCAGAAAAACCTTGCCAAGAAAACTGCAGTGACTTATCTGGGCAATTGCCAGAAGTCAAACTTGACTCATAGGTGTGCATTTGCACATCACACACACACAAACACACACAAAGAGAGTGCTTGGTGGGAGAAAAAGGAAACTGAGGAATTCACTGATCCCTTAACCTGGCCCATAGACAGCCTTCTTTACCAGCCTTATTGTGGCAGAATAGAAGTTGGCAATGGGTGTAAGGCAGTGTTTCCCAAACTTGACAATTTTAAGGCATGAGGACTTCAACTCCCAGAATTCTAGGAGTTGACAATTTTAAGGCATGTGGAATTCTGGGAGTTGAAGTCCACATGCCTTAAAATTGTCAAGTTTGGGAAACACTGGTGTAAGGCAACTTCCACATCAAGGACTGGAGGGCAGCACTTTGACCTGGTCATGTGGAAAAGTCATGAGATGGTGTTTCCATTTTTCAGATAAATGCTTTCAGGGAAAGCTAGTATTCATTCCAGCTTAAAAAAACGAAATAATTCTGGACTCAGAGCACGCTTCATTTTGCAACTTGTTCATAATTCTTTTACATAACCCTACGATTAATTAACTCAAGCTTTCTGAATTTCAGCACTATACTGTGGGAGGGAGTAATGTTGTTGTCATTAGTATTTAAAACAATGCAATTTGAAATCTTTGCCAATTTCTGAGTCACTCAGTGATCTATCACAGACTCATAACTGCCTTCCTAATTCCATCCCTAATTTATGTGCAACACTTAGCACAGTTCTTTTTTCTTCCTAAATGTACTCAGCAGTTTAGTTTTTCCTCATATGAACCGCTTTTTTTAAAAAAATATGATTTTGTTGCCCTCCTCTGGACACTTTCCCCAGACATACACAACTCCATCCATTCCAATGCTATGATGTGGTCAACTTCAGTCATAGGATGTAAATATCAGAGGGATTAAAAAAAAAAAAGACTTGATTATGATTATATAATGAATATAGCTCATTACCATCACTGATCACTGTTTTTCTTTACTAAGCACTTAAGATTTTAAATTTTCCTAAGATTTAAAGATTTTGGAGCAAAGAGGGAAGTAGAGGGGGAGGGGAAGAGAAGGGAGAAGGGAAAAGAAAGGAAGAGGAGAGGAGATAGGAGAGGAGGAGAGGAGAAGAGAAGAAGAGAGAGGAGGATAGGAGAGGGGGAGAGGAGGATAGAAGAGAAGGTGAGAAGAGAAGAGAAAAGAAGGGACGGAGAGGAGAGGAGGAGAGTAGGATAGGAAAGAGAAGAGAAGAAGAGGATAGAAGGATAGGATAGGAGAAAAGAGAAGAGAAAAGAAGCAGAGGATAGGATAGGATAAGTGAAGAGAAGAAGAAGAAGAAGAAGAAGAAGAAGAAGAAGAAGAAGAAGAAGAAGAAGAAGAAGAAGAAGAAGAAGAAGAAGAAGAAGAAGAAGAAGACGAAGAAGAAGAAGAAGAAGAAGAAGAAGAAGAAGAAGAAGAAGAAGAAGAAGAAGAAGAAGAAGAAGAAGAAGAAGAAGAAGAAGAAGAAGAAGAAGAAGAAGAAGAGAGAAGGATGGGATGGGATGGGAAGAGAAGAGAAGAGAAGAGAAGAGAAGAGAAGAGAAGAGAAGAGAAGAGATACGACCGAAGTCTCGACGGGATACTTGGCTGCTTACAAAAGCGCACGAGACGGTGAAAGCCCTTTAGCGCTCGCCTCTGATTGGACGGGTGACGGGGGGGGCGGGCCCTGCTCGACAGCCTACTCTTAGCCGGGCTCTGAGCTCCGCTGAGATAAATACAGGTGGGCCAAGATGCCGCTGCAACACAGTTCTCCGACGCTCTCCGCGGCTTCAGGCTTCCCCGCGCAAAGATGTCTCAGACGCTCAAGCTGGCCACGAAGGCATCTTTGCTCGCGAAGCTCTTTCCTGAGCTGTGGGTGGAATCTCTCCTCGGGGCGCGATCGAAAGTTATTAAAACCCACAAGACTCTGGAGGAGATGCCGGGACCCAGCGCTCTCGGCTTCTTCACCGACCTTTTCTGCAAAAGAGGTCTGTCCCGACTGCATGAGCTTCAGGTAAGAGCCGCCTTGAGAAGATAGATAGATAGATAGATAGATAGATAGATAGATAGATAGATAGATAGATAGATAGATAGATAGGCAGGCAGGCAGGCAGGCAGGCAGGCAGGCAGACGACGATAGATAGATAGATAGATAGATAGATAGATAGATAGATAGATAGATAGATAGATAGATAGATAGATAGATAGACAGACAGATGATAGATAGATAGACAGATAGACAGACAGATGATAGATAGATAGATAGATAGATAGATAGATAGATAGATAGACAGACAGATGATAGATAGATAGACAGATAGATAGATAGACAGACAGACAGACAGATGATAGATAGATAGATAGACAGACAGACAGATGATAGATAGATAGACAGATAGATAGACAGACAGACAGACAGATGATAGATAGATAGATAGACAGACAGACAGACAGATGATAGATAGACAGATAGATAGATAGATAGACAGACAGACAGACAGATGATAGATAGATAGACAGATAGATAGATAGACAGATGACAGATAGATAGATAGACAGACAGACAGACAGATGATAGATAGATAGACAGATAGATAGATAGACAGACAGACGATGATAGATAGATAGACAGACAGACAGATGATAGATAGACAGACAGACAGACAGATGATAGACAGACAGACAGATAGACAGACAGATGATAGATAGATAGATAGACAGACAGACGATAGACAGACAGACAGACAGGCAATGATAGATAGATAGACAGACAGATGATAGATAGATAGACAGACAGACAGACAGATGATAGATAGATAGACAGACAGACAGACAGATGATAGATAGATAGACAGACAGATGATAGATAGATAGATAGACAGACAGATGATAGATAGATAGACAGACAGACGATAGATAGATAGACAGACAGACAGACAGATGATAGATAAACAGACAGACAGACAGACAGATGATAGATAGATAGATAGATAGATAGATAGATAGATAGATAGATAGATAGATAGATAGATAGATAGATGTAGGTAAAGAGAGAGAGATGAGATGAGAGAGATAGAGACTGACAGACAGGAGAATATCATCCCTACACCCTCATCACCCACTATGATAATCTCTCTATCCCTCTTCCTCTCGCTCTCCCCCTCCCCCCCTTCTCTCTCCTTTAAGGCTTGAAACTGTAATGAGTCTTTTCCTTAATGCTTCTCCCCATCAAAAAAGAAAACCCTTTTTCTTGTGAGGGCTTATGTAAAACCAATGAACTGCATAGTCTAAAAAAACCCGATCCTATGGACACTTCCCCACTTTTCTATCGATCCAAGATAACTTATAATCAAAAGCTTTCTAGGATTACCAATCGAAAGATGTGCAGCATTCTAGGCTTTCCTTTGCAAGCTGTGATATGTCTATGTGCGTAAGGAAATGTTTTGTGTGGGGTTTTTTTTTTTAAAAAAAGGTTTACAGATGGGAAATAACCAAGTCTGACTCTCCTGTAAAATATCTGTGAATGAAGCAAGGTAGTTGCACCATCCAAACCTCATCTAAGAGCTCTTTTTCTCAGTTATGGTTCCTTCCTTTTTTGGAAGGGGACAGTGGCCAGCAGGCACAGAGCACCTTTCGGGAACACAAGTCACATGCAGCATGACAAATTCTGCTCCCTTCTCCCCAGTTGTTTATTCAGGGGTGTCCTTACTGTGGGTCTCTTACTGTGTCAAAAAGAGACACGCTGAAAAGGGGTGCCCCAGAACAGAAGAAATGGCACCACTGGATAAGCAAATTTCTTCTGAATGTATGGCTCTTGATCCATGATTTCTCAAATTGTCCTTTGAATCCTTAATTCTTGGGTTTGTTTTTTTTTAACTTCATGGATGATGCCTTGATTATTTCTTTTTTAAGCTTCTGCCCAGAATTCCAATTATCTGAATAATCTCCTTGTGTGAATGTGGTGAAGCGATTGGCCCCTGGCGTCCTTAAAGCAGTGTGAAAATGAATCTCCAAGTTAAGGATGTGGCGTGAAATATACCCCCTAGGACTCTCATAAGCAATACTGAGCAATTCTCTAAAGCTTTGCTTAAAAATCTCTGTTGCTTCAGTGGGAGAGGAATCACGGGCACTTAATGACAATTCAGCAAGAGCTAGGCCAGATGAACAATAAGACATTCCTGAACCATGTCATAAGAGGAACCCCTGGCTTATGATGCCGTGTTTATAAAACTGGAATAGGTATCCTACAAGGCGCAGAAGTTCTGGGGTCAGGATCATCACTTGCATGTATGGAAACGTTGCAGTGGTTATTTCAGTAAATGTTAGTTCAGCACGTTCTTTCCTGGCTTGCTGGTCTACCGTGCTCGGTTACATAGACAGTAGCGTTTGTTGAAAAACCTAAGCCACTGAGCTGAGCAAAGCCATCTTGACCTTATGGCCATCTATAGCATTAAACTGTACTTACGTGCGCATGGAACACACTGTATAATTTTTAAATCACTGATAGTTCTGTGAGGTGAGTACAGATGAGAGTGCCCTAGCCCGTTCTTGTTTTAACACACAGTACATGTTCAATGAGTGTGTTCAGTAGTTGTCTCAATAAGACGGTGTTTTATTATATTTGTGGAAATTACTTCCTTCTGCATGCTCTAAAAAAGAGACTGTTTTATTTTACTTCCAAAATCTCTGCCATTCATCAATCCTTGTGTTTCCTGTAACTTTAGCACAATGGACACAAAACTTCTTTTTTTTTATTGAAGTGTTCTTGGTGTTTTCTGAATGTTGTTTTCTTGGCAACTTTTTTTATTGCCCCTATTTAAATTTACAATGGTCCTATTGTATAGAATAATTTTCTACTGCAATCCAATTCTTCCTACCAAAGGTCTCTGATAATCTGATATTGAGTTACATTACTGAAACATAGTAGTGCAAACTACTACACTATATTGTCAAAATAGGTTTGCAGGTTTAGCAGTACATCTTTAGATAGGCAGAGAAAAATATTCAGTACCTGTCTTATAAAATGCCCTTGCTGGCATCTATAATATCATTGTCCTGATTATCTCTGAAAATAATCTGAGGGGTGAAGAGAAGACTCTTTTGGACTACCATTCCAGTGTTAAGTTTGTTGAATGCTGTACTGGTAATCTAATGTCAATGATTTTCACAAAGGTAAAAAGACCCCCACATACCTTTTAAGATGGGTGAGGCTGTTTTGATTTATGCACCACTGCTGTCTTTGGATAATGTAGGAAGTATTCATGATGTGAGACTAAATATATATTCTCTCTTTCCATGTATATCCTCTAAGGACAATTGTATATATTCATTGTCACGATCCTTTTTTGCAATTAGATTATTGTTGATATACTATTGTACTTTCCAAACAGGGAAAAGCAAATGAACCATTGAAGAATGCTGATGCTTAACTTAAGAACTCAAGTTTTGTTTGTACTTAGATTTCTTTCACTTTTCTACTTTATCATAAGGGACATACAACCATAAGGAGTAGCAACTTAACAGAAAATCAGACTAAATAATGAAAGCTACTCAAGAATCTGCAGAAGACTAACCAAATAAATGAAAAGCACAATCTTACACATTTTCAGAGGGCCAAAAATCCTTTTGTGTCCCACTTTTAAGAGTCTATATCACAAGGAATCGATCCAAAGAAGACTAAACCTATTTTTCAGTCCCAGTTATTGCAGCAGAAAAAGCCCATTGACTTAGTTTTGTCACATAATCTTCAGGATTTAAATTGCCCCATCTTGTCCAATAAGCTACTGTCTTTGCACTGGCATTTTTTTTAGTGCTTCTTTAGATATTAAATCCAAGTTAATCCCTTTTCACATATGTGAAGATCCTTGCATTACAGAGGTACTGTGATGTACCGATGTACAAGTAGTCTTCAGCTTACAGCCACAATTGAGCCTAAAAATTATGTTGCTAAGTGAGAAATTTGTTAAGTGGGTTTTGCCCCATTTTATGACTTTTCTTGCCACGTTCATTAAGTGAATCACTGCAGCTCTTAAATTAGTAACACGGTGGTTAAGTGAAATCTGACTTCCCCGTTGACTTTGCTTCTCAGAAAGTCGCGAAAGGGAATCATATGTCTCTGGGGCACTGCAACCGTCATAAATGTGAGTCAATTGTCAAGCATCCAAATATAAGGCATGTGAACACAGGGATGCTGCAACGCTCATAAGTGTGAAAAATGGTCATAATGGTCACTTTTTTCAGCACCTTTGTAACTTGGAACGGTCACTAAACGAACTGTTCTAAGTCGAGGACTACCTTTATTTGGGTATTCATTTTGGACATCAGATGCTTATCCTTTTTGACATGGAGGTTACCAGTAAGGGAGAAAAATTCCACAATCAATTTTCCTTCAGGAAGGAAATGTAACTGTTGAGAAACTTGACACATGAAGTGTATCTTCCAGGGGTTCAGTATATTTTTGCCTGGAATGGATTGGATTTGAGATACTTCCCTTCTAGATACTTCCTAATTTAGTAATCCCTTCAGAAATTATGCAGAGTTTGGGGTTCATCAAACAAAAGAGATGGGAGGGGGGAGTGTTATTATGTTTCCTGACTGGATCTTCTTCCCTGAGTGGGAAAGCCATTGGATCATTATGGGATCCCTCCTCACAAGCTTCTCTCCTGCTCTCCTCCTAGATTGAAGGCAAGGCTAAATACGGCCCGGTTTGGAAGGCTAGTTTTGGGCCCATCCTCACAGTCCATGTGGCAGATCCCAGTCTGATTGAACAGGTGCTAAGACAGGAAGGCAAGCATCCCATTCGCTCCGACCTCTCCTCCTGGAAGGATTATCGAGTGTGCCGAGGCCATGCATACGGGCTGCTTACAGCGTAAGTATTTGCTGCCTTTTGTTGTCCAGGCAGGCTGGCAGGAGTCCATGTTGCAGGAGAGTTCCCCTGAAGGCTGTCCTTGCAGAGGTTATTCCATTTTCATTATTTCCCACCCAGCAAATAATTTCATGCATTGATTAGCTATGGAGTAGCTCCCCCTAGTGACTTCCCGGAGACTTTCAAGAAGGTTTTATGCATATGAAGAGGGGGCTCTGATGGCCATTTAGGCAGCCATTTTAAAAGCCCGTTGCCATTCATCCTTTGGTTTATAGGAGTTTCTGCTCTTGAGACAGCTAACTATCAGAACTAGAAAATAAACAATCAAACTTGAAAATAAGAATCAAAGCCCAATATAATACAAAGCCCCATATAATACAACCTTTATCCACGCAACATATAAATCTTGTCTGAAAGGGGAAGAATTTCTTGCTCTCTAGGAAGCAAAAAACCAGGAAAGCTGTTGGCTCTCCAAAGTTTGCAAGTTGAGAAGGCTGCAGGAGCTTAGAAAGACCAAGATAGGACAGCCCCACCAGTAGGTCAAGTGAACCAGTTACTTCGGGCAGCCAAAGCAAGTGAAGTGGGTGGGGGATAGAGTTGTGTGTAGTTGCCCTGAACCAGGTCAACTAGTCTTCTGCCCTCAATTCCAATAATGTGTGTTGTCTTTCAATCAGTGCTCAAGTAAGATCTGACTGCCAGTTCACTTAGGTTTTGGGTGGGGAGGGCTGCTATCTCACAGAAGGCAACATATTATTCTGAAAAAAAATTTCTGTTCCTGAGCAATGTGGATATCAACAGTATTGTCTGTTCCCATGACACAAAAACACATCTTAAGGCAGCGGAGACTGTAGACAATTGTGTAATTTACCACTACTACCTACACATACTCACAAAACATGTGTAGGTGGTGGTGGTGAATTACACAATTGACTACAGCCTCTGCTGTCTTAAGATATGTTTTCATGTCACGGGATAAGATGTTTCCTGCCCTCTCTATTTCTCACACAAAATCAGCAGAATTGGGCAGTAATGGAAACTCTGGAGCAAAGATCTCAGATCGTCCTACATGAAGGATTTCACAGCTGGGTTGCGTAATGGGAGGGACACACCTTATTTATTGTCTTTTATATATCACTATATGCCACTCTAACCGATGGACCCTCCAAAGCTACGGCACACAACATTTCTGACCATCGGCCAGACTGGCTGAAGCTGCCAGCCACCGAATTTTAGTCACAGCTTGTTTACTTTAAATGCCGAGCTGAAATTATTCTCTTTCTTCTGGCATCTCAGCCTTCTGGCTCTGGAAAGGGTAGGCTAAAATCCTTAAAGCATCAGGTCAAGGATTCTGTCATACTACAGGTAGTCCTCAACTTACAACAGTTCATTTAGTGACCGTTCAAAGTTACAACGCCCTTGAAAAAAAGTGACTTGTGACTGTTTTTCACACTTACGATGGTTATAGCCTTCCCTGAGGTCATGTGAGCAAAATTCAGACACTTGGCCTCATATTTATGACGGTTGCAGTGTCCCAGGGAATCATGTGCTCCCCTTTTGCGACTTTCTGACAAGCGAAGTCAATAGGAAAGCCAGATTCACTTAACAACTGTGCCACTAACTTAACAACCACAGTGGTTCACTTAACAATTGGGGCAAGAAAGGTTGTAAGATGAGGCAAAATTCACTTAGCAAATGTCTCAACAACAGAAATCTTGGGTTCAATTGTGGCCGTAAGTCGAGGACTACCCGTATGAGTGCGTGAATGGAGATAACTTTGAATCATAAGGACTAGCCTCATGGCTAGTCTGCTTCATTTTGTGTTTCTTCCTTTGGAGGACTGCTCCCTAGAGCTGGCCTGTAGAGGACCAGAGGGAAGGAGAGACCCTCATGTTTGCATTACGTGAGAACAGCAGAATCTTGCTGAGTCTTCTGCAAGCATACAAACTGGGAAGTGAGAAATCGCTCTGAGGGCCTCACTAAACCGTGGGGATGATTCAGGCTCCCTCCATAGGGGTTGTCCCATCTGCTGGCTGGTGGCTTCCACAGCCTGGACCGGTGCAGGATATGAGTAACAAGAAAAGGAAATGTAACAAAGAGATAAGCCCTCAGCCCTTTTGGAAGGGCTCTGGGCTGTTTGTTTACAGATTATTAGTGGACTATCTATCCCAGTGTGGTGTAATGATTAAGGCCTCAGGCTAGAAACCAGGAAGCTGAGTTCTAATCTTGCCTGGGGCACACAGCCAACTGAGTGATCTTGGTCCAGTCACTTTCTCTCCGCCCAATGAATGATGCAATGGTAAACCACTACTGAAAAACCTTGCCAGGAGCGACTTATGCAATCAATCTCTGAGAATCAGACATAATTGAATGGGGGGGGGGAATCTCTTTTCCGAGGGTGGAGGTGTAGCTCTGCCAAGCTGATACTTATATCTCTCTTTGGAAATGGGAGAATGTCCTTGCTGGTTTCTAAGTTTTCTCTTCCCAGAGCTTTCCTCCTGCCCAGCAGGCTAACGGAGGCTGTTTTCTACCCTGCAGGGAAGGTGAGGAGTGGCAGCAAATTCGCAGCATCCTAGGAAAACATATGCTGAAGCCCAAGGAGGTGGAATCGTACACGGGCACCCTGAATGAGGTGGTCAGTGATCTGATCTGCCGGCTGCAGCACCAGAGAAATCTCCATGAGCGACACGTTGTCAAGAATGTGGCTGATGAATTCTACAAGTTTGGATTAGAAGGTACCTTATCGCTATGCCTGTTTTGTAATCGCCCCACCAAACTTCATCTGTATCAAAGTTACACTGGCGACTTCATTTACAAATAGAGAAACATAGCATGATGTTATAACGTAGTACAATGGAGCCGGGCTGAATTTATCTGAGATAAGCTACAATTAGTCCTCAACTTAGTCATAGCACTGAAAAAAGTGATTTGCAACTGGTCCTCACACTTACGACCGTCGCAGCATCCCACAAATCAAAATTTTGGTGCTTGGCAACCGGTGCGTATTTACAATGGTTGCAGTGTCCTGGGTCACATGATTGCCAGAGTCATTTTGCTATGACAAATCGCTTTAATGAGTAAATAAAATAAAATAAAAATTTCAATCTTGCCATCCAGCTTCTCACAAGCAAAGTCAATGGGAGAAGTCAAGTTTGCTTAACAATCGCATGAGTCACTTAATAACTGCACTGACAACTGTGGCAAAAATGGTCATAAAATTAGGAAGGACTTACTTAACAACCACCCTACTTAACAACAGAAATTCTGGTCCCAATTGTGGCCAGAAGTCGAGGACTACCTACATACTATTTTTATAGGGTTGATGATACAAACACGTAAGAATATTTAATTTATACTTTTCTCCCCATACATCTTTCATTACTACTCTCTTTAGCACAATTATACCATCACTTAATGAGTCCTCAATAAATGTTCATGTTCCAAGTTTCTTGTTAATCAGAGGGCTTTAGGCATTAAAATAACGGCAACTTTTGTTGAATTCTGCAAAGTGAAAACCTCTAACTTCAATATTTAAATTTAATTCTTTAACTACAATTTAAAAACCCTGATGGTTGCAGAGAAAAAGTTGAAAGTATGTTGCCAGTGCTTGTTTAAAAAAACCAAAACAAAATTCAGCTACTAAGGGATGAAGTTTGGTGTAGAAAGTTTCTGCTGTAATGATTGAAGTGTCCATTCTTTTAATTCCCTTCCTGGCTTGGTTTTTTTAGGTATTTCTTCGGTCCTCTTTGAATCCCGCATTGGCTGCCTGGAACCCAAAGTTCCAGAAGAAACAGAGAAGTTCATTAGCTCCATCAACACCATGTTTGTCATGACTCTGCTCACGATGGCCATGCCCAAATTTTTGCACCAAATTTTTCCTAAGCCATGGCAGAAGTTCTGTGAATCTTGGGACTATATGTTTGAGTTTGGTGAGTGTTGCTGCCACTGAACTTTTTTACTTTAAATAATATTTAACTAATCTTTGATTTGGAGCTGAAAGATGGGTGGCTATATAAATGTTATAAATAGAGATAGATGATAGACAGATATAGATGAGCGATTAGATAGGTAGATAGATAGATGATTGATAGATGATAGATAGAAAGATAGATGATGATGATAGATAAGATGATATAGATAAATAGATAGATGATTGTTGTTGTTAATTGCGAAGTCGTGTCCGACCCATCGCGACCCCATGGACAACGTTCCTCCAGGTCTTCCTGTCCTCTACCATCTTCTGGAATCCATTTAAATTCACACCTACTGCTTCAGTGACTCCATCCAGCCATCTCATTCTCTGTCGTCCCCTTCTTCTATTGCCCTCAATCTTTCCCAGCATTAGGCCCTTCTCCAGTGAGTCCTTCCTTCTCATTAGGTGGCCAAAGTATTTGAGTTTCAACTTCAGGATCTGGCCTTCTAAAGAGCAGTCGGGGTTGATCTCTTCTAGGACTGACCGGTTTGAACGCCTTGCAGTCCAAGGGACTCGCAGGAGTCTTCTCCAGCACCATAGTTCAAAGGCCTCAATTCTTTTGCGCTCAGCCTTTCTTATGGTCCAACTTTCACAGCCATACATTGCAACTGGGAAAACCATGGCCTGGACTATACGCACTTTTGTTGGCAGGGTGATGTCTCTGCTTTTTAGTATGCTGTCTAGATTTGCCATAGCTTTCCTCCCCAGGAGCAAGCGTCTTTTAATTTCTTGGCTGCAGTCCCCATCTGAGGTGATCTTGGAGCCCAGAAAAATAAAATCTGTCACTACCTCCATTTCTTCCCCATCTATTTGCCAGGAACTGAGAGGGCCAGATGCCATGATTTTGGTTTTCTTAATGTTGAGTTTCAAGCCAACTTTTGCACTCTCCTTCTTCACCCGCATCAAGAGGCTCTTTAGTTCCTCTTCACTTTCTGCCATTAGAGTGGTATCATCTGCATATCTTAGGTTGTTGATATTTCTCCCGGCAATCTTAATTCCAACTTTTGATTCATCTAGCCCTGCCTTTCTCATGATGTGCTCTGCATATAAGTTAAATAGGCAGGGCGACAGTATACAGCCTTGCCGGACTCCTTTTCCAATTTTGAACCAATCAGTGGTTCCGTGTTCGGTTCTCACTGTTGCTTCTTGACCCGCATATAGGTTTCTCAAGAGACAAATGAGATGGTCTGGTACTCCCATCTCTTTAAGAACTTGCCACAATTTGTTGTGATCCACACAATCAAAGGCTTTTGCATAGTCAATGAAGCAGAAGTAGATGTTTTTCTGGAACTCCCTAGCTTTCTCCATGATCCAGCGTATGTTGGCAATTTGATCTCTAGTTCCTCTGCCTCTTCGAAATCCTGCCTGTACTTCTGGTAGTTCTCGATCCACATACTGCTGGAGTCTAGCTTGTAGGATTTTAAGCATAACTTTACTAGCATGTGAAATGAGTGCAATGGTGCGATAGTTTGAACATTCTTTGGCATTGCCTTTCTTTGGAATTGGAATGTAAACTGACCTTTTCCAATCCTGTGGCCACTGTTGAGTTTTCCAAATTTGCTGGCAAATTGAGTGTAGCACTTTTACTGCATCGTCTTTTAAGATTTTGAATAGCTCAGCTGGAATACTGTCACCTCCACTAGCTTTGTTGTTGCTCAGATTTTCTAAGGCCCATTTCACTTCACATTCTAGGATGTCTGGTTCGAGGTCAGTGACCATCTCATTGTGGTTATCTGGGATGTTAAGCTCATTCTTGTATAGTTCTTCTGTGTAGTTTTGCCATCTCTTCTTAATCTCTTCTGCCTCTGTTAGGTCTCTGCCATTTTGGTCCTTTATCATGCCCATCTTTGCATGAAACGTTCCCTTCATATCTCCAATTTTCTTGAAGAGATCTCTGGTCCTCCCTATTCTGTTGTTTTCTTCTATTTCTTTGCACTGTTCATTTAAGAAGGCATTCTTATCTCTTCTAGCTACTCTCTGGAATTCTGCATACAATTGGGTGTATCTTTCTCTTTCTCCTTTGCCTTTCGCTTCCCTTCTTTCCTCAGCTATTTGCAAAGCTTCCTCAGACAGCCATTTTGCTTTCTTGCATTTCTTTTTCTTTGGGATGGTTTTAGTTGCTACCTCTTGTACAATGTTGCGAACTTCCATCCATAGTTCTTCAGGCACTCTGTCTATCAGATCCAGTTCCTTAAATCTATTTGTCACCTCTACTGTATATTCATCAGGAATATGATTTAGTTCATACTTGAGTGGCCTAGTGCTTTTCCCTACTTTTTTCAATTTAAGCCTAAATTTTGCAACGAGAAGCTCATGATCTGAGCCACAGTCAGCTCCTGGTCTTGTTTTTACTGACTGTATAGAGCTTCTCCATCTTTGGCTGCAGAGCACATAGTCAATCTGATTTCTATGTTGACCGTCTGGTGATGTCCATGTGTAGAGCCGTCTCTTGGGTTGTTGGAAAAGAGTGTTTGTTATGACCATCGTATTCTCTTGACAAAATTCTATTAGCCTGTGCCCTGCTTCATTTTGTACTCCAAGGCCAAACTTGCCTGTTATTCCGGTTATCTTTTGGCTTCCTACCTTAGCATTCCAATCCCCCATGATGATAAGGACATCATTTTTTGGTGTTAATTCTATAAGGTGCTGTAGGGCTTCATAGAACCGGTCAATTTCATCCTCTTCAGCACCAGTGGTTGGGGCATAGATTTGGACTACTGTGATATTGAATGGTTTGCCTTGGATTCGAATTGAGATCATTCTGTCATTTTGGGGATTGTATCCCAGTATTGCTTTTCCTATTCTTTTATTGACTATGAAGGCTACTCCATTTCTTCTGAGGGATTCTTGCCCACAGTAGTATACCTGATGGTCATCTGAGTTAAATTCACCCATTCCTGTCCATTTTAGTTCGCTGATTCCTAAGATGTCGATGTTCAGTCTTGTCATCTCTTTTTTGACTACGTCTAGCTTGCCTTGATTCATGGATCTTACATTCCAGGTTCCTATGGAGAAAAAATCTTTACAGCATCGGACTCTCCTTTCACCACCAGATATATCCACAGCTGAGCGTCCTTTCGGCTTTGGCCCAGTCGCTTCATTCTTTCTGGTGCTACTAGTACTAGCCCTCTGCTCTTCCCCAGTAGCATATTGGACACCTTCCGACCTGAGGGGCTCATCTTCCAGCGTCATATCTTTTTTCCTTTTAGTACTGTCCATGGGGTTTTCATGGCAAAGATACTGGGGTGGTTTGCCATTTCCTTCTCCAGTGGATCACATTTTGTCAGAACTCTCTGCTATAACCTGTCCGTCTTGGGTGGCCCTGCACGGCATAGCTTATAGCTTCACTGAGTTACGCAAGCCCCTTCGCCACGACAAGGCAGTAATCCATAAAGGGGAGATAGATGATATATGGTAGATAAATGACAGATAGAAGATAGATGATGATAGATAGATAAGATGAGATAGATAGATAGATAGATAGATAGATAGATAGATAGATAGAGAGAGAGAGAGAGAGAGGTAGGTAGGTAGGTAGATAGATAGATAGATAGATACATAGATACATAGATACATAGATAGATAGATGACAGATAGAAGATAGATGATTATGATAGATAAGATGAGATAGATAGATAGATAGATAGATAGATAGATAGAAGATAGATGATGATGATAGATAGATGACAGATAGAAGATAGATGATGATTAGATAGATAGATAGATAGATAGATAGATAGATAGATAGATAGATAGATAGATAGATAGATAGTCTTATGTGATTATCAATGTTATTGTTAGTATTATTTATTATAAAGCATGGCTTTATAAGGACCAGAAATGTGCTATTTCTCATTTCATTTTCTGTTACAATTGTCTTTTTCTCCTTGCACATTATTCAGGAATTTCCCTGAATGCAGAATTAAAATAGCAGTATTTTGAGTATTTGATTGAAGGGTAGTGTGTAAATACTTAAAACAAATAGATACCTATTGCTAACATGTTAGCGAGAGCCAGGGATAGTCTATGTACAAGATGATATTCTCCTGTTTGCCTAAGATCATATTAAAACAAGAAACAAGAAACATTCAGACTTGACTGATATGTCGTGAATGTTGTTGAATATGTTGTTGGATGGCTCCAACAAAGAGACAAGGAATGATCTTTTGCCCATTTCTTTTCTAGCCAAAGGACACATTGATAAGCGAATGGCTGAAGTTTCAGAAAGAATCAACCAGGGGGAGAAAGTCGAAGGAAAATACCTCACTTATTACTTGGCACAAGAAAAACTCTCCATGAAATCCATCTATGGAAATGTGACCGAGCTCCTGCTAGCTGGTGTGGACACAGTAAGTATTTGGGGATGCTCTAAAATAGAACATTTTCTATACTTGCAAGCATTATTTCTCTCTAGCTGCGGAAGCCACATCCAATTTTTCAGCTGAAACTAGTTTGTGTGATGGGGAAAGCATTGATAGATTTTGTGGGCAACAGATTAGAGGGATAATCTCATCTTCTTATGGTGGACTTAACTGTTCTGCAGGCCCCGATAACCTTATCTTGAATAGTCAGGAGGACCATATTCCTTCCCTTGAGTAGCTGTTCTGTAGGGGAGGACAAGGATGTAGGTGTGATGGGATTGTGCCTGAACCTGAAATTTATTTCCTGTGTCCATTGCTTAGAGCAAGGACAGCTTTCCCCAATCAGGAACTTCCCAATAGTGTTAGATTGCATTTCCCATCATTTCCAGTTAGTGAGGGATATAGTCTAGCACAGGGATAGGCAACCTTGGCTCTTTTATGACTCGTGGATTTCAACTCCCAGAATTCCTGAGCCAGCCATGCTGAGGGGAAAGGGAGAGGTTTCCAAGCTGAGACATGCTGGCTCAGGAATTCTGGGAGTTGAAGTCCACGAGTCATAAAGTTGCCAAGGTTGAGAACCCCTGCTCTAGGGGATGGTGCTCATCTGTTTCTTAGCTGAGGGAGCCAGCGTTGTCTGAGGACATTTTTCCTGGTCATATGGCCTCCTTGCAGCTTTGTTTAATGCAGCTAATAGTATTAGCTGCTCTGCTCTTTACCTGGCATAATCTGATGGAGGTACATGGATTCCATCCATGATTCTTAGTTTGTGTTCTTTGGCTGTACGAAAGAAGAATACTCTAGAGCAGGGGTAGGCAACCTTGGCTCTTTTATGACTCGTGGACTTCAACTCCCAGAATTCCTGAGTCAGCATAGCTTCTGGGAGTTGAAGTCCACGAGTTATAAAAGAGCCAAGGTTGCCTACCCCTGCTCTAGACAGCTAGCTCAAAAAACAGTACGGACTACTTTCAACAATGCCTCCAGCCTGACAGAGGGCCTATTCTCTATATCTTTAGACTAGTTCTGAATCCATTTCTCTCTGTATCCCTGTAGATCTCAAGCACTTTGTCCTGGAGTTTGTATGAGTTGTCCCGTCACCCTCAGATACAAGCTGCTGTCCATGAAGAAATCACCACCGTGATGCAGGACGGACTCATTCCAACAGCTGCTGAGGTCGCTCAGATGCCTCTGCTGAAGGCGGTGGTGAAGGAGGTCCTGAGGTGAGTCTTGTTTCAGGAGCAGATGGGAAGCTGGTATGCGGCAGGTAGAAACACAGAAACATCCTGTGTTGATCTTGCTAGGGAAAGCTGAAAAGATGGATAGGTTTCTCCTTGCCCAGAAGCCAGCTAGGGTGCTTTTCAGGGCAGAAGCTGAATGGTAGCAGTTCAAGGTCACTTGTTATTTTTAAGACCTTCTCTTAATATCAGCCTTCTATTCTTGTCAGCCTTTGGCATTCAGAGATGCCAAGTTTTATCATCCGTAACTTATTTGTTCATGTAAAAATCCATTTGAGTACAGGTAGTTGCTTGGCTTACACTGTTTGCTTCAAAGTTACGATAGACTCACCACAAACTACTTATGAGCCAATTTTGAAGGCCGTAATACACATATTCCTCATGGTCAGGGTGTCACCTTTTGGACACTTGTCAAAAGGCTCACCTTTATGGCTTTTTGCAGAATCCTGAGATCACATGACCACAAATTTTGGAGTTTTTTTTTTCTGGTTTCTGGTATTTACTTCCAGTCAAAAAAATTCCCATTAGGTAAAATGGGTTATCAGCCACCACAAAAAATTGGCTCCAATCACATGGTAACCCACAGAGGCTGGATGCAAATTTAGCTTCCTAGTTAGATAACTTTATTTTTATCAACATGCTTTGCTCTGAATATCGATACTCCTCGGCAGCTGAGCAAAGAGTGAAATCTGTGATTTCTTTAAAATAACTTGTGCTTTTGTTTGCTCTTTACAGATTGTACCCAGTGATTCCTGGTAATGCACGAGTCGTTTCAGACAGGGATATCGAAGTGGGAGACTATATCATCCCTAAGAAGGTGAGCAAGGGCAGAGATGATGCAAATGGAAATGGAAAAAAAGCACAGTAACCATTAGTCTGCAGTATTTTGCCACAAACCATTCGTGTCTCATTTGGATACAACAATTAGAAGCAACTGCTGAGTTAAGCTATGAGTCTACTCAAAACAAGACTGATACTCTAGACAAAATGTGATCTCAGCCACATGTGATTGATCTAGGATGGTAGTTACCAGCTGCCCATGATGTGCTGCTGGTGTTCTCCTTACATGTCTAATGTGCAACAAAGTTGTAAGGAGCACAGAAGTGATGAAGTCCTTTCCAAGAGGAAAAAATTAATAACATACAATAAATGGGAAGAAAGAGTAAAGTAGATACAACTATTCACTGTAGGACACCAGGGAGATCTAAAACAAACCTGTTACTCTGGGTCCCCAAGTCTCTGGAAATGTATAAATATTTTGGGATAAGCATACAGGAATTTTTATTACACTGGAACTCAAGGAAAGGATTCCTTAATGGAAATATTGTCTTAAGGGCAAAATGAAGACAAGGGACCATTGAAGGTTTGGGTCAAGAAATGGGAACTAAGAAAACACTTCAAGAAGGACAAGGAAGTGGATGTAGAGCAATGAATCACGTAGACACTCTGAACATGGGTCTCTGAATTGCTTTTCTCATGAGGCTCCTTTTTTCCCCCTCTTCCTCTTTTCTTTAGACCCTGATAACCCTTTGCCATTTTGCTACCTCTCGAGATGAAAAGTACTTCTTCGATCCCAACTCCTTCCAGCCTGAGCGATGGCTGCAGAAGAACGCTTCACACCACCCCTATGCCTCCATTCCCTTTGGCTTTGGCAAACGCAGTTGCATTGGCCGACGCATTGCGGAACTTGAAGTATATCTGGCACTAGCTAGGGTACGGTCTACAGATGGTGATGATGATGATGATGATGATAATGATATTTTCCAGATAGGTTCTTGCTCTACAACTGGCATGCTTGAAAACTTGGAATTTTGGGGAGGTGGGGGGAAGGACATAATGGCAAAACATTGTCATCTCTCTTTCTTTCTTTCTTTCTTTCTTTCTTTCTTTCTTTCTTTCTTTCTTTCTTTCTTTCTTTCTTTCTTCCTTCCTTCCTTCCCTCCCTCCCTCCCTCCTTCCTTCCTTCCTTCCCTCCCTCTTTATTAAATTTATATGCCACTCATCTTACTATTAAAGGAACTCTTACTATTAAAGGAATTCTGGGTGGCTGTCTTCCATTTTTAAATCTCCCATGTTTCCCATTAATTATTCCCTTTTTTTTCTGCAAAAATATCACTAAGAGAAAAAGATGGAATAGTTGCATGAGGATTTTGGATCAGTCAGGTTATAGCTGCCCTGTTTGAATGCATTTCTCCTCCCACCTCCAATAGTTAGACTTCGTACTGTAAATTGAGATGACAACGTTAAAATTAAAAATTGTCTCACTGAGTTAAAGTTAGCCTGCTCTCAAAGAATGCTAAAAGGTTCCTTTCTTTCCCTTTAAAAAAAAACAGATCCTGATGCATTTTGAAGTGAAACCTGAAGAGGAGGGGCAAATTGTAAACCCCATGACACGGACCTTGCTTGTGCCAGAGAAGGACATCAATTTGCAGTTTCTCAGTCGTTGAAACCAGACAAAACAAGGGAAAACTATTGACTTGGATTTCCTGTTAATGCACAACTGGTGCTTATAGAACCTTACTGTATAAAATTCGGTAGCCCCGAGTGGAGCTACCTGTTTGAATTCTTGATATTGGTTTGAAAGGACAACAAAAGAGGGTGAAGACCCATGTTGCTGAGCAAGGTTAGCTCCAGAGAAATCCCCTCTGCAGTTCTGGGACATGGACACTTCAAAATGACTTCAACACTAAGAATGATTCCCAGTCTCCATCTAGGCTATGAAAAACCAGCCAAACCCTATTTCAAATCTCAGCCACAGCAATAACACAAATTGCTAAAAAGCAATAGAGTGTGGTTTCCTTAACTCAGGATTTTGAATGAAAAGACTTTCTTCTGATTTGTAGCTGTAATCAGAACTCCTCTAAAATTCCCCTTTTACAACCCTGTAGTCCCTTAATTCGGGGCAGAGTTGATGGAGCTGAGCATTTACTGGCTGGATGCCCTTCCTGATGCCATATGGAGTTCGCGTTTTTTTTCTTTACGCCCTAGGAGAGAAACATCTGCTGCTACTTAGGATTGAACTCTCAACCTTCTGGGTGGGAGGCGAATGTCTTCACCACTAGGCCACCACGCCATAATCAGAACTCCTCTATTGCTGTGAAAACACAGTGGATATATCACATTTAGAACTTTGGGAATGGAACAATTATGTATCTCGGTGCCTTATTGTTATTATTGTCATGCTAATTTTTAATATTTAATGCATTTCTCAACATATTTATATTTTTCTAGCTTGTAATTTATGAATAGAGAAATGTTGGTAGCAGAAGCTGTCAGAAAGAAAAAAAACTTTTATCTTTAAAAATGAAGTAAGGTTTTTTTGTATTTTGAAACAGTTGTACTGAAGCAATTTCTGTAATTACAATGGATCACGTCCATTTGGTGCTATATTTATTTTTTATCTTTGAATTAAATAATGAACTTTTTTTTAAAAAAAATATGATACTGACTCTGCCTGTGCTTTAAGGTCACAATAAATCTAAATTGGGTTGAGGGACAAATCTGTGGTTATCTACTCCCGCTACATATTTAAAGTTGCAACTAAGAGAATTATGTAATTCTGATTCCCCAAAGGTGATATAACATGATATACACTCAGGATCATCGAAAGAAAACACTCATCACTCCTCAAATTGTAACACCCACTATTCTGGAGAGAAGCTAAGCTATATAAACCGATTATAAATCAGATAAAGCTTGAAACGATAAGCATCCCTTTTAAAAACATTTAAATTAGGGTGTTCAACATTGGCAACTTTAAAACTTATGGACTTCAACTCCCAGAATTCCTCAGCCAGCCATGCTGGCTGGGGAATTCTGGGAGTTGAAGTCCACAGGTCTTAAAGTTGCCAAGGCTGGACATCCCTGGTTTAAATGATACAACTCAATCTAAAAACTTTCCTGATCTATTTTCAATTATAGCTGTTTATCATTCATTCTGTCCCTTCTAGGGAGCACCGTGCAGTAGTCAATCATAATACAAAACCTATTTGTAAATCTGTGGTAGAGCTATATTTGGGCAAGTTCGCTGACATTGTCAAAAAAAAATACAGGATTTTTTTTTTAATACTCATATGATGTCAGTCTTAAAAAAAGACCAGACAATCAACTCCACTGGAGGGCTAAAACTACTTTTATTGACTATAATAACAGAATCTAGCAAGTCTGATTGTGCTCCACCTCTTCCTCCTCCTTATACTCCGGTGAAGTAGGAGGCATCTGCCTGAGCTGCTTCTGAAAATTACCTCATGGGTCTGGACTTAAAAGCCTGTTCAGTGCCCTTTGCCTAGTTAACATCAAGGGTATCTTCCTTATTCCTTACTGATGTACATTGGTGTGTTTAGCACTGGCGCTTGGAAGACGTAGATAAAACAATTGGTGCCAAGTCCCAGTGCCCATAAGTTGGTGATACTTTCCTGGACTATAAGGCACATCTAAGTCTTAGCTGATGTTTTAAATTAGTTTCTCTATAATATAGTGGAGCCTTCTACATGGCCACTCAGTCCAGCCTTTAGTCCTGTTTGCGGGAAACTTGCTCACCACCATTCTGAGACTCCCCTTTCTAGACTCATTAATGGAGGGAGTAGTTTATTGGGAAGATTGTCTTCAGAGAACCTTCAGTGGTATGGCAACCAGCATGATCATTAACTCTACAGAAGGGTTGATGGAGAGTATCCAAGGGAGGATTAGACCACCCGAGTTACTGTCTTCAGATGGAAATCACCTAGAAAGTCAGGTGGTTCAGGCGACACTGGAACAGGGCATAAAATGTTCTACTGCCCTTGAAAATTGTAGGATTTTATCTTTCTTTTCTCTCTCTCTCCCCCTCTCCCTCTCTCTCTCTCTCTCTCTCTCTCTCTCTCTCTCTCTCTCTCTCTCTCTCTCTCTCTCTCTCTCTCTCTCTCTCTCTCTCTCTCTCTCTTCTGCCTGCTAGCAATTCCTTTCCATCTATCAGCTGAACATCCATGGGACAACAGCCAAATGTATTTCTACAGTAAACCTTAACCAACTGTCACAAGCTATCTGTGCGGTGTTACCCCTTTTTCATTCCTGGGGACAGACGGAGGGAGAAAGAGAGAGTCACCTGCCTCCTACTTCAAGTCTCCTTTCTTGAAGGGTGGGCTTCTCACTGGGAACCACAGTTGCCAAGGCCATGTCTACGTTTGAAGCTGCTCTAATGCTAAAGGCCCCAAGGAGATGGGAAGAAGCCAGCAGAATTTTTACATGGAGTTCTATGGCCTTTCAGGCCATTGTAGTTTCGACAACAAAAAAGATGGAAAGAACTTTTCTTTGCTCATAGTTTTGCAGCCCATATATTTGAACCCTGGAAAGGTAATTTGAGCAGTAATTCATTGCTTCTGAACACTGGGAGTATAGAAGGTTAGGAATGATAAGCTGCTGCTTTTGGAAGCTAATGTACAGCAACACACACTTCTGCTTCTCATCTTCTACCCAGCACAGAGGTAGTTTCTTCCCAGATCTTTTCATAGGATTTTGGATGTGAAGCCTTTCAAAAGTTATAAAGAATAGAATTGCAAACTTCATCTCAGAAAGATTCCTTCAGCTGGGTCCCATTCCAGTAGCCTATTAGGAACAAAATATCCTACCATTCCTCACAAGAACACAGGGGAGGGATTGTAGGACTTTCCTACTGAAAGAAAAGCTGTAATAGCAATTCTGCATATAGATTCTTTACAATGAAGTCAGAGATAAAATACATCACCTAAGTGTTGGCACATAAATCAAGGCAGGAGAAAAGTCTGATTAAAAAAGGCTCACAATTATGAAAATGGCCATTCTGGTTAATATGAAATATATAATTTTATAATATTTAAATAGAATTGAATTTGGCATATATATTTTAAATAATTTGCCTGTTTTCCTGTATAGATTTGACGAAGAGAACAAATTAAAGTTGTATGTACAGTTCAATTCTGTGTGAAAGGACCAATTTCAATAGATTGACTGACTTCTTAAGACAAGGCTTCTGTCAAAGCAAGAATATACAGTATTTGCAGCATTGACATCAATGCTGCAAATACTGTATATTCTTGCTTTGACAGCTTCTAAGTCTGGGTAAACCAAACCAGTTGAGAATGAAAGAAAAGTGGCATATAAACCTTCAGTTAAGAATTGGGCAACTCTAAGGACTTGTGAGTTCAGCTGGCATTTTGAAAGCATGTTTTGGACACTCTCACATAGTCACTAACCTTGTAGAAGCTGGACCCATTAGATAGCAAGCATCAATTTCTCTCTTCAGAACCCATGATCTACCCTTTTCTATTCTCTTATGGAAAAAAATACTGGGATAGAACCATTACTTTGCAAGAATATCTATGTGATTTTAAGAATGGAGCTATGGGATCAATTTGGTGTCATGGAGCCATTTTGGTGTAGAGCAGTGGTTCTCAACCTGTGGGTCGGGACCCCATTTGGGGTCGAATGACCATTTCATGGGGGTCGCCAAACAAGGCTCTTGAATAGAGTCTAATTCTATTGGCTTTCAAAAGCCAATAGGAATTGTCCAGGCTGTCTCTGCCCTGCTGAGCCCGCCAAAAGCCCCAGTCTGCAAACGGTGCTGCAAGTTCTCTGCTGCGAAGGCGAGCTGTCTGGAAGCTTCCACCCCTCCCTGCTGAGCAACTACTAAAAATGTAAGTAAAAGAGGGCCAGGAGTGGGAGGTGGGAAGCTGGCGGGCACAGGGAGGGTTGCTGGCGCGCGTGGGGCCTGGCGGGTGCCTTACCTCCCTTGGGCTGGACCAGCTAGTGGCCCAGCCAGTGGTCGGCCTGTGCCGTCTCTGCCGCTTGCCAGCTACGCCTCGGCCGGCACAGGGGGGCGGCACCATGCATGTGCGGCGCTCCCAGGCAGGGAAAGTCCTTGACTTATGACCGGTTGGGTAGCCCTCGACTTACGACCGGTTGGGTAGTCCTCGACTTACGACTGGTTGAGGGTCGCGGCATTAAAATGGTTGAGAACCACTGGTGTAGAGGTTCAGGTGCTGGGCTAGAAACCAGAGGACAGTAAATAAAAGTCCCACCTTAGACATGGAAACTGGCTGGGTAGCTTTGGGCCAGTCCATCTCTCCCAGCCCAACCACTGGGGAAAAGAGAAGACAAGACTATTAAGCATGCTTGCCACTGTGAGTTGACTGGAATATATAAAAGGATAAAAAAATTTAACAAGGATAATAATTAGGGCCCAGGGACATTCATAAAATAATTTTAATTCACCCTTTCTAGATTTCTGGAAAGTAAAAGCAAGGGAGGGGAGCAAGTGCTTTCAGACTTGTACAATTCTTTTGTCATACAGTAACTTTACTGTAAAGATAATGTTTGTATTCATGGAATTGCTTCCTGGGTGGACTACTGGGATGGGCTGTGTCGTGGCCCAGGCTCAGGATACAAATTCCAAGTCTGATTCTGACACTGAAGAACCTGTTCCAGCTCTGTCTCTGGAATGTCAGCCAAAGGAGGGACAAAACCAGATATCAGCAAAGGCTGACCAAGCACAGGCACCACTGAAACAGCTGAAAACTGAGATGAGGATGCTGTAAGGCAGTGTTTCTCAACCTTGACAATTTTAAGGCATGTGGACTTCAACTCCCAGAATTCCTCAGCCAGCTTTGCTTTGCTGGCTGAGGAATTCTGGGAGTTGAAGTCCACAAGTCTTAAAGTTGCCAAGCTTGAGGACCCCTGATTTAGATGTTAAAAAGAAGCCAAGAGAGCATGCATCAAGACAAGATTAGCAACAGAAAACGAGAGAGCAGGTTGCATGTATGGCGCTTAAAATACCTTCCTCAATGTTGTGCTACAGATAAAAAAACAGCCTCCTGACAGAAGTCGACTGCTCTGCTAGAAACCGGAATCTTTTAATGTTAGAGCTTTTGAAAATTCAACCCTCCTGTTAAGAGCTTTTGAAAATTCAACTGTTCCTCTCCTGGACCTAGAGGCATCCATAATGCCTGCACTGATATATTCTGCGCCAGCTGCAGCTTCCAGATACTTTACAATGGTAGCACTGTGACGAGTATTGCAGTGGTTCACTGCAGGGGGTGGCCAGGGAATGCTGGCTGTGGAATTCTGGGAGTTGAAGCCCACATGCCTTAAAATTGTCAAGGTTGAGAAACACTGCTGTAAGGCCTCCAATCCCTGCACTAGACCAGTAGGGAAGACAGCAGAACAGCAAAGTTCTATTAGACTCCATGCCAGGCAGAGGAGTAAACCTTCAAATTATTGATAGCCGGCTGCAGCCTTATTTAAGAAGCAGCTCTGAGTCAAGCTCTCTTTGCTAGAAACATCTGATTGTCTGACTTCTGGCTTGTGTATGACATGTATAGATTCTACTCTTGAACCTCTGACTTTGGACTGGCTGACAACTTTGACCTGACTCTGAAACTTGGACTAACTTTAGACAAATCTTCTGTGTGCCCCTTTTTCAAAACAAACTGTCAGGCCGTAGCGGAGGCCGTCCGGGTTACCTGCACCAACGAAGCCTCGACTCCCCGAACACGCGGTCTAACGGCGTCCGAAAGGCCCGACATTCAGCTGGCTGGCGCGCATGCGCAAGAGCCGCTCCGACACCCAGCTGGTCCCGCTGGAGCTGCACATGCGCAAATGGTGCTCCGGATGGCACAGCGCATGCGCAGATGGCGAAAACAACGAAATCTGCGCAGTCTCCTTACGTGGACACTAGGCTGAAGCTAACATCACTAAAAGAGACTACTAGGCTGCCGAAGCGTCGGGAAGCCGTCGAAGCGTCGGGAAACGTCGGGAGGTGGCAGCTGCAGATCTGGATAATCAGATGGATGGCCATATAGGGGGTATTGGGCGGTCCGGAAGAGGGTGGTGGTGCATGGGTGGTAGCGTGGGTGTGGGCTAGGCGGGGTCTTTGTGAATTGTATAAAGGAGCCATGAATATAATAGTTATCAGTGCTGACTTTAAATCGTTACTTTACTGGAATAAAGTGGAAGTTCTTCGTTCCTGACGTGTTGATTTTGTATTGGCTGATTGTGTAGTCAAGACGAGGCAACAATAAGTCAGCACTCCCCCTAAACTCGTTCTTTAGAGTAGGCTTGGAGCAGACGGGAGGCAGCATGGCAGAAGGGGTGCAAGACGGTGTCCCGGCTGAAGATGCTCCTGAACAGGTGGAGGACCAGGGCTCGTCTGTGGATCCAGGTGCAGTGATGGAGGGTCCTGTAGTACGCCCGAAGGAAAGGATTATTCCGCCAGCTGTGGATGTGGGCCCCGAGACTAAGCAGAGGCCGGCAGCGACCGAGGCGGCTGAATGGTGGTTAAGTCCAGCATTACAACGTTTGGACACTGGTCGGCGGCCTATGCTGGGTGACAGAGACTCTTATGCAGCTTGGAGGGAAAGGAGAGTGGCTGGTGACGAGGAGGGTGATTGGAGTTACTCCACCGCTCCTGGACAGTACACCCTTGATGTGTTAAGGGATAGATTTGGGGAGACAGGTTTCCTTCCCAAACAAGGGGTGGCCCCCCAGCGTCCTATTGATTCATCTGGATTCCGTTTGGCTAGCCCGAAATTGAGGGTGTCAACAGCACAACTGGAACAAGGGGGACAGGGAGGTGTGAGAATGGGACCCACACATGCCAGTCGTACCACCCCTGTTTCCCTGCCTTTGGGGTCTGGGGATCTTGGCCGACAATCCGCTATCACTGGGGGACAACAGGGTGGCCAACCAGCTTTAGTGTGGCCCACGGGTATACCACGGACCCCTCCGCCTCTTGGGATTACGTTTGACGGCGATCCTGACAAATTGGCCATGTTTTTAGGCCATGTGTTGAATCATTTAGATCGCTTTGCGGCCCATTACACCTCACAGTGGGCCATAGTGGTAGCAGTGACTGCCAATTTGCAGGGTGAGGCGGCTACCTGGGCAGCAGACTTGTTTGGAGATCACGCCAGCGAGTTGGCCGATATAGGCTCTTTTCTTGAGGCCTTGAGGATTCAGTTTGAGGACCCTACCAGGGTTCAAAGAGCGGAGGCAGAAATAGTACACTTAAAACAGGGGGGAAGGCCAGTAAGAGAGTTCATTAGGGAATTCCAGCGTGTGGCAGGCCGATTAAGATCATGGCCTGAGAAATTGCTAGTGCATCACTTCCGGCATGGGCTAGATGTGGACTACGTCAGGCTTGTCTGGTGAGGGGGGTTCCGGCTCGTTTACACGATTGGTATAAGACAGTTACTGAACTCTATGCTGGGTTGCAGGAGATAAGTCCAGGTACACCCGCCTCTCTCCCCGCACCCGCACAGCAATCAACCAGTAAACCTAAGGCTGTGGGGTTCCAGTACAAACAGTCCCACCGGGGGCGCCAAGGGGGATATTCCGCTGTTTCCGATGCAATAAACCGGGTCACAGGGTGGCCCAGTGTCCAATATCTCCAGGAATGGGAGTGTCTTCGGGACAGTCTGGGCTCGCGACGAGAAGGCAGGAGGTCACGCCATTTTGGGGTACGGATCAAATGAGAGCTTTGCGGCAAAATGAAGACAGCACACCCTATGGGCCTTCACCAGGAGTGGCGGTTTCAACCCCGGAGGTGGTGCCTGACAAGTATGATCGGGAGGACCCGGAAGAGGATCCCATGGTAAGCAGTCCAGTGGTACCATTCGCCATACCAATCTTCCTGGCCAATTGCAAATCTGGTCAATGCATGGAATGTAAAGCGTTGATAGATTCAGGTTGCACACGATGTCTAATCAGTAGGAAAATAGCGGATGCATTGGGACTCCGATTGATAGGTTTGTCTCGGCCGATCAATTTCGAACAGGTGGATGGGTCCCTATTGGGTGGGGCACCGGTGACTCAAGTGACTGAACTTGTACGGTTAGAGATGAGGGATCATTGGGAATTAGTACGTTTTATTGTAATTCCATCAATGACCGAAGAAGTGATCTTGGGGTTGGCCTGGCTTGACAAATGGCAACCGGTCATATGGTGGGCAGGTGGATGTCGCCATATGAGATTAGTTGTAGGTCCCCGGCCTCCGGAGGATGGTAGGGAGAATCCATATGTGCAACCATCACATGCCAAACTACTCTGTAGGGAAAGGATCAAAGTGGCAGTGGAAGCTAGTGAAGGGAAACGTTTGTTCCCTGTGGAGTATGAGGATCTACGGGACGTGTTTAGTGAGCAAGAATGTGATGTGTTGCCGCCACATCGCCCTTACAGGTTGTGCAATAGATATCATACCGGGGGCAAAACTGCCCAAACCCCGGATGTATCCCATGTCTCCCAAGGAGTTGGAGGAACTAAGGAGGTACATTGATAAGAACTTGGCGCGGGGCTTTATACAGCCAGCCCGGTCTCGGATTGCGGCTCCTGTGATATTTCAGGGAAAGAAAGATGGTGGATTAAGGTTTTGCGTGGACTTTAGGGGATTGAATGCAGTATGCACTGAAAATATGTATCCATTACCCTTATTGAAGGACATGCTAACTCATTTATCCCAAGGGAGGTTTTTTACTAAACTCGATCTTAGGGAAGCATACTACCGCATCCGCATAAAACCAGGAGATGAGTGGAAGACCACATTTAATTGCCCTTTGGGGAGCTTCCAATTCACCGTCATGCCGTTTGGGTTAAAGGGAGCGCCTGCAGTATTTATGCAAACCATTAATGCGGTGTTGCACGAACATTTATATCGCGGGGTATTGGTGTACCTTGACGATATTTTGATATATTCTAAGACCATGGAAGAGCATATACGGATGGTTAGGGAGGTCCTACACAAACTCCTCCAGGCCCAATTATTCGTAAAACTCTCAAAATGTGAGTTTCACAAAACCCGTATTGAGTATTTGGGATACAGAATATCAGCCTCAGGGATAGAGATGGATCCGGCAAAAGTGAAAGCGGTACTTGAGTGGCAGGCACCTAAGACGAGACGCCAATTGCAGAGCTACTTGGGGTTCGCAAATTTTTACAGGCAGTTCGTTCCTGATTTCGCACAGGTGGCTCTGCCACTTACGGAATTGTTGAAAATGCGGAACTCTCCTGTAAAGGCACGTCCTAGTCAGTCATTGGCATGGACCAGAGAAAGTCAGGCTGCGTTCGAACATCTAAAGGCTTTGTTTGCCAAGGAGCCCATTCTACTGCATCCAGACCCTGATAAACAATACACCGTCCAAGCGGATGCGAGTGATGTGGCGGTGGGGGCTGTGTTATTGCAGCGAAACAACAACGGCAAGTTACAGCCCTGCGCATATACCTCACGCAAGTTAACAGAGACGGAGAGGAGATGGGCGATATGGGAGAAAGAGGCCTTTGCTATTAAATGGGCCTTGGTAACGTGGCGACATCTTTTGGAAGGGGCTAAGCAAGAAATAGAAATATGGACGGACCATAAAAATCTAGCAGTATTGCAATCGCCCCGATGTTTAGCCCCGAAACATGTGAGATGGGCGCAATACTTTAAACGATTTACGTTTCAGCTTAAATATGTCCCTGGGGGTAGTAACTTCTTGGCGGACGCGTTATCTAGATTGCCCCAATATGAGAGCCAAAAGGAGGAGCTGGTACAGGCTATATTACCGCCATATACGCAGGGAGTAGGTAGGGTAAGTTCCCGTTCCGATATAGGAAATATCGAATCGGAGTTAAGGGCGGCAATACCACAGGACCCGTGGTTCCGGGAACATCGTAATCTGTTCACTCAGAGAAACGGGTTGGCATGGTTCGGAGTGAAATTATATGTACCGCTTGTGTTACGGACTAGGATCCTTCAGAGGTGTCATGATGCAAAACTGGCGGGACATTTCGGATTCGTCAAAACATTATACCTGACTAGACGCCAATTCTGGTGGCCTACGTTACGAAGGGATGTAGAACACTATGTAAAAGCATGTTCTGTATGTGCTACATGCAAATCCCGTCCAGGAAGGCCAGTGGGGTATTTACAGCCAGTGGCTGACCCGGAACATCCCTGGCAGGATATTGCCATGGATTTCATTGTGGAACTTCCAAGGAGTAAGGGACATACGGTAATTTGGACGGTAATCGATTTATTCTCAAAACAAGCCCATTTTGTGCCATGTAGGCAGTTGCCGACTGCTCAGAAATTGGCCCACATGTTCCTGACACATATATACCGTATTCATGGGTATATCTGAATAATATCTGACCGGGGGGTTCAATTTACGGCACGATTGTGGAAAGGTTTCACCGCATTGTTAGGGTCGTCGCAGGGACTTAGCACTGCGTACCATCCTGCTACCAATGGAGCTGCTGAACGAGCTAATGCAGCGGTCGAACGGTATTTGAGAAGTTATGTGTCATACCAGCAAGCTAACTGGGCAGACCTGCTGGTGTTTGCAGAGGTTGCGTATAATAATGTGGTGCACGCCAGTACAGGGTATGCACCATTTAAAGTGGTTTCTGGGAAAGATTTTGTTCCCATACCTGAATGTCGGAACCTGGAGGCGCAGCCATATCTCCCACAGGAGTGGACCCAAAGGATTTCTGGGGCATGGGCGGCTGTAAAAACAGCGCTGGTAGAATATGGGTGAAAAATGAAGGAGCAGGCGGACAAAAAAGGGCAACCCTGTAAGCCATTCATTGTGGGTCAACTAGTTTATTTGTCCACCAAATATCTGAAACTGAAAATCCCGTGTAGAAAATTGGGACCTAAATACATTGGCCCGTTTAAAATTGTTAAAATCATTAATCCGGTTACTGTACAATTACAGTTACCCCGGTTGTTGGGGAAAGTGCATCCGGTGTTTCATTGCAGTTTAATAAAACCAGTCTATATGTACCGAAAGGAAGCTGAACCAGGCCCTGTCATTAATGGTGACTATGAAGTACAAGAAATACTCGACTCCCGTATTAAGCAAAGTAAATTGTATTATTTGATTAGGTGGAAAGGTTACCCTTTACCTGAGGCTACGTGGGTACGGGCAGATGATGTAAGGGCCCCTCGATTGGTTAAACAATTCCATGTACAAAACCCTGGGAAACCAAAACCCATTGGTGCAGTGGGGGTCGGAAAGGTGGATGTGGGGGAACCGATGTAACATATCTTCTCTTTTCTTCAGGGGGAGCCTTGGTAAAGGGGGGCAGTATGTCGGGCCGTAGCGGAGGCCGTCCGGGTTACCTGCACCAATGAAGCCTCGACTCCCCGAACGCGCGGTCTAACGGGTCCGAAAGGCCCCACATTCAGCTGGCTGGCGCGCATGCGCAAGAGCCACTCCGACACCCAGCTGGTCCCGCTGGAGCTGCACATGCGCAAATGGTGCTCCGGATGGCACAGCGCATGCGCAGATGGCGAAAACAACGAAATCTGCGCAGTCTCCTTACGTGGACACTAGGCTGAAGCTAACATCACTAAAAGAGACTACTAGGCTGCCGAAGCATCGGGAAGCCGTTGAAGCATCGGGAAGCGTCGGGAGGCGGCAGCTGCAGATCTGGATAATCGGATGGATGGCCATATAGGGGGTATTGGGCGGTCCGGAAGAGGGTGGTGGTGCATGGGTGGTAGCGTGGGTGTGGGCTAGGCGGAGTCTTTGTGAATTGTATAAAGGAGCCATGAATATAATGGTTGTCAGTGCTGACTTTAAATCGTTACTTTACTGGAATAAAGTGGAAGTTCTTCGTTCCTGACGTGTTGATTTTGTATCGACTGATTGTGTAGTCAAGACGAGGCAACACAAACTTTGCAGGCGAGCCTTTGCTTTATTTTCATTCCTTTGCTTCACTGTTAACTCTTCAGCCTTGAAGTAAAACTGATACTCTCCTGAGAAACTGTGAGTGTATGTCTGTGACTGAAACCTGCAACAGGACAGGCTGACATCAATCCCTTTACTAGGGAGGGTCTCTTCTGAGTTGTTTTCTCCATCCCCATTTCTTCTGTAGCTGAGATATCTTTTGTCCGACTATTGTCCTGCCTGTGGCTCTTCCTCCTGTCTCTCGGGGGGGTGGAAACTACGATAACTTGCCATGGCCAACTCACCATGGCCAACTTACTGCAGCCAACATGCTGCAGCCAACTTGCTGTGGGACAATTCGCCACGGGACAAGAGTTACACTAATATTGAAGAAATAGTGGAATAGAATCATCAAAGAAAAGATGCCAAAGGAGGGATAAAATGAAATGTGAATGACAAAAATTAAAAGTATTTTAACTAATTGAATTGTCGAATTGTCCTGTGGTGAGTTGTCCCACAGCAAGTGGACCATGGCAAGTTATCCCATTCTACTCCCAGGGATACTTTCTCAGCCCAGTGCAGAAAAGTCCTCATGGTGGGACCTCTGTGTGCAAGCTCCTTTCCTACGGAGTAGCCTGGAGGACCATCCATCCCAGTGCTCCTCCAGAAGCTAGAAAAACCCAGTTCTTCCAGAAGGCATTTGAACACCAGCTTGAGTATCGGTTCCCATATTTGCTTTAATGTTTTAAAGTAACTTTTGTATTTTCCATGACTTTGTATTATTTACTATGTCTTATTTAGTACTAGTATCTGCAAACTGCCTATGGTCCATTAAAGATTGAGGTGAGAGCAATCTCATGAATAAAATAATACTTAAATCATCAGAAAAAAAGCAAAGGCAGTAATGTCAGCAATTCAAACCCAGCTTTTATTGGTGGGGGGAGATAAAATGTAAAAAATAGGACTTCAGGCTTTCCTTAAAAGGTGCTAATGAGGAAATGAAACAAACTGATTGCGCGAGGGAATTCCAAAGTGCTGGAAACAAAACATAACCATGAAAAAAAGGGGGGGGGAGTTGAAAGTAAAGACGGAGCCCTTCTAGGAGCCAGAATCAAGGAGCAACAAAAGGACCAAATAATAAACAAGAGAAACACAGTGAAGTTCAAAAAGAACTTGAACCTGTAAAGTTCGATAGAGTATTCTTCAGGAAAGTGAAGTAGGTACTTAAGCCCATCCAGAACCTGGGACACTTGACTGAGAAAAAGCTGATTTAGTTAAGAGGCTGCTCACAATCACAGGGAACAGAAGTGCTATTAAAGATAAATATTCGCATTGCCCATCACCCTGATTTTGCCACTGAATTTCTCTGTTGCTCTTGATTGTCTTTGTCATTCTCACTACCCATCTGGGTCAAACAACTGGGATCCAGACAGAGAGGCAATGCGGCAGAGGCACCCTGAAAAAAAAAAGTCAAGACCACAACAATGTGATTAAACTTGTTTTTCTATGGTTCTTCTCAACCCAATTTACTTCATGGGGTGGTTTTTGTAGGTAAAAAATAGGTCTTGTGCTGTGCTTGGTATATTTAAGCATGTCCCAATTTTTTAAAACAAGTTTCTATATAAAATAAATCACTGTTTACGATGGAATCCCCTTGATGGTGGCAAAATTAGGAGAGAGCCATTAAATGTGACTAGCTTGTAAAGGTTAAGGAGCACTAGACAAACCAGCATGCCTGTATTTGCCCACATTACACCCAATGTCAAATTTTTCAGCTGAGGCAGTTTGCACATGCAGCCATCCGTCACCAAAATATGGGTAATCGAACAGCAACTCAATCTGGCCCATCAGTGCCAGATTTCTTCCCAAACTTCCTGAACTAAATCCTAGAGACACCAGACCAGACATACACCATCAATTAATTTAAACCTGGCTTGAAATGTACTTTTCTAAATTTCTTCATATGGAAATACAGACCCTCCTCTGAAAGAACATAAGAATAATTTGCTGGAATGGATGCTTTGTTCTTGTCTCTTGAAGCTTTCTTCAAAGGTTGCCATATATAGGAGTCCTGCTTTAAAGAATCTTCCAAGGTCAATAGCAATAGCAATAGCACTTAGACTTATATACCACTTCACAGTGCTTTACAGCCCTCTCTGAGCGGTTTACAGAGTCAGCCTATTACCCCCAACCATCTGGGTCCTCATTTTACCCACCTCGGAAGGATGGAAGGCTGAGTCAACCTTGAGACGGTGAAACTTGAACTGCTGAACTGCCGGCAGCTGGCAGTCAGCAGAAGTAGTCTGCAGTACTGCATTCTCACCACTGCACCACCAAAGTTCAACTGAATACAAATAATCCTCTACTTATGACCACAACTGAACCCAAAATTTCTGTTGCTCAGCGAGATGGCATTATTTATGACAGCAACCCTCATAAATATGAGTCAGTTACCAAGCATCTGAATTCTAATCACTTGACCCTGGGGATGCAGCAATGATGATTAAGTGCAAAAAATGGTCATAAATAACTTTTTTCAGTCCCGTTGTAACTTCGAACGGTCACTAAATGAACTATTGTTAAGTCAAGGACTATTTGTATGCAGGAGGTCCCTGTTTGGGATCTTCCATTATTGTGTGTGTGTGTGTGTGTGTGTGTGTGTGTGTGTGTGTGTGTGTGTTGGAAGGGATTTCCTTGATGAAAATGATACCTCCCTCCAGAAATTTCCATTTGCTGCGTGCAATAAAATGCATCCATAAGTAGACCAATGAATGCCTGTAGTCACCAAGGTGCCACAGATACTATCTTTGGTCTAATAAGCTTCACTCCTCAGAAGATCAGCTTATTGAGAAATTCACTTTTAATGGGGTGCTGCAAAGGAAAGCCCCAGCCTCAACAATTATTATTATTATTTCATGTGGCATAATAGAATACAGCATTAGCGCATACAAATTCACAGAAACAACATACAGAATGTCTAGGGAGATCTTCAGTCATCCAGTCATCCTCAGTCATCCATGGTTGTTCCAAAGGTTCTTTTTCAAAAGGCAACTGGACTTTATTTTTCAAAAAGTCTTCAAGGAAAAACAAAGTCCAGTTGCCTTTTGGGGAAAAAAAAAAAAGCAACTTTGGGACAACCTACAAAATGTGTATCAAAATATAAAACACCAAAGCAGTGAACTATTTTGAAAACACCCAGTATGAATGATGAATAAAATGATGCATATTACATTATTTATGAGCAATTACTAGAGTGACTAAACCTATGGCTGGCTACCTAGATGTAGATCTAGATCTCGCCTCAACAATCAACAATCAATAAACAATCAACCTTGTTTATAAGAAAGCCATTGACTATCATAGACTATCAAAGACACAGACACAGGTTGCTGCCTGTGTCTTTGGAGTGAAAAGAGGATACTCTCCACCCTCCTCAGAGGAAAAAAGAGAAGCTACAGATTTTTAGCTGGAGGAGGACCTGTTTCCCTCCTGGCAAATCTGTGGTTATGCCTGTCTGCCCCAATTGTGGTCACCATGTTGTTAATAAAAGATCTGAGAATACAGCTTAAGCACGCAATTGTGTAAAAGACCCAGCATTCTTCATTTTTTTGGAGTGTATGGTCCAAAAGCCCACTGCCTTAGTGTTAATTGAACCAACAGTAAGCTCTCCCTTAGGATCTTTGGACAATGGACACAATGTGTAGAACATGCTGTGAAGAATTACAAAACGAGGGGAGAATTTGACAGCTGTCAATGTGGCTGCTATGGAGGGAGTGAGCTGGGCACCAAATATTTATCAGAAAGCAAAACATTGAAGAATCTTCTATATAACTACAAAGGTTGTGGGTACTGACTGAGTCCCAATTAAGATGAACCCAGTCATACACTATTTCCTGATGGTCAAAGAACATGCCCAAATGTTGAAGATTTCTACCACCCTTAGCAGATGGACACCCTTTCTAGTGAAACCTTAGCTGTGATCTGTCAAGGATGAAACTTTTGCAGCTACATGCCTCTGTGTTTCAACTTGCCTTTAGATTAAGGGGGGGGGGAGGTGTTACTTCCAAGTAATTAGATGGAGAAACAAAATTTCTAGAATTCAGCTGAACACCATGACAGCCTGAAACCTTTTGAAGGATACCAGACCAGGTGTGGATTTGAAGCAGACGGCTCCCATAACAAAGTGAACTTGTTTATATGGACTACATAAGATGTTGGGGAGGGTTGGCTGGGAAAATTATTGTTTAAGTCTATGAATTAGACTTAATTCATAGAGTTATGAGGTTGGAACCTTAGAGTTAGTTTTGCTTCAACATGCCCATGCAGTGTATTTAATAAACAGGAAGATTTTCAAAGACGAATGAACCTGGAAATTTATTTGGATTCTCAAGCTGGATGTCTTGGAGGCTCAGAAGTACTCTTGGAAATGTAGAGAATGCTGAAGCTTGACATTTTTCTTTGCACCATTTGAATTCATTAGATCAAGTTAAAAGATTATCGATAAAATCAGAGGACGGGGAAGGAAAACAAGAATGATTGGACGTCAGTTCCCATCAGCATCAGTTCCACAACCGATGACAGAAATTTTGTAGTCCAAAACTTTTAAAGAGCTCCAAGTTGTCTCATATGTAAGCATAGGGGGTGCAATTCATGTGTACATTAGCAGCTGCAGAAACTATTTTAGGATCTTTAGGACTTAAGAATGAGGATGAATAGAAAATTATTTTTTTCACAGCTTTGCTTATTATAGCATTTCATATTATGTGCCAAATGTTATTGCATAGCTCTGCCTCTAGATAGCTTGGGACTTTTTCGTCTATAGCAGTGGTGTCAAACTGTGGGCTGGTT